TTTGACACATCCAGTCTTTGATTTGCTCAATGCACTGGCACAGAAGATCTATGGGGCGATAGTCGTTTGGTGATAGCGCTACATAGATTTGGGTGTCATCAGCGTAGCAATGGTGGTCAATTTTATGTATATTTGGTCGTATATTTGTTTCTAATATCCTACACAATACAGTCGTCACCGTAAGGCGTAGTTTCTTTACTCAAGGAAAAACTTTGCAAAATCCCCACTCAAAACTCACGCTTCGAGTTTGCCACGATCTTATTCTAAAGGTAATTCAGTAGAACTCACGTTTGGTTATTGTAGGATATCAGAAACAAATTGACGATCCGCTTCATAAAATTAATAAAATGCATATAGTGTAAACCAGAATACAGCCATGATTCTGAAACTGTGTAATCAATAAAGTAATGACAATATTGTAAAACCACTGTAATTCTGCAACTGTAATAGAATAATACCGATGCAGTTATGATTGTATTTGATATAATGTAACCAACTGGAATGCATGCATGTAATACTTGAACAACAACTGATATTGACTATGGGCCGTTCGAAATCCTAGTTACATTGAACTCACCAGAAGACCACTCCCAGAGGTGTGGACACTAATTTTCACACCTTTAAGCATTGTTATAAATACCTGTAGGAACCATTGTTCTCAATTTCGCTGGTGGAGGCGACAAACGGGCACTAGGGATGGTCAAAAGGACTGACCTGGGGCCTGTTGGTTGCTGAGACCAGCGGCTCCTCAGCTGAGATGTTCTTTTTACCACAACACCATCTCTTTTATTAAATACATTCGATTTTAACCTTTTGATCAGCGATGACCTCTGTCATCCTTTCTTCATTTTTGAATAGTTAACAGTTAACAAGAACAGTGATATCGTTTTACCTGCTTCAGCATAAAATTCACGTATAGGCTATTTCCACGGTCTTATTCCACAGGTGGAATTCACGTTTGGTCAATAACAACGGTCTTATTTTACCCGGGTAGTCAAGCGATCTGCATTACGATCTCGGATAATTTGTTCCGAGTGAAATCTTTACCGTAAGCAATCCTGTCTTCTACTTGTAGTCTAGCGATGTTACGATCTCGGAGAATTTGTTCCGAGTGATCCTATCTACCTTCGCATAAAATGATGCATTAGAAATATCCCGCAATCATGTACTCAAAAAAATTAAAAAAATTCCCCGAACTATCACAACCATTTGATCAGTCATCTGTTTCCGTTATGTTCAACTCTTACTGTTACTTTATAATTGGAAATTCAACTTTGTAGAAATTAATTATTTTTCGCTGGATACACGTGACGTCAATCAGGACTCCTCTGGTTTCCGCCGGTCCTTTCTCTCTTGTCTAAGGAGGTATGAGGCAGGATTATCAGGTGGTGATCCTGGAAACGGCCTTTTCCCCAGACGGTCCCCCGGAGCCTGACGGACAGTCAGTGAATCCTGTTCCTGACGCCAAATTGTTGTGGAATATTTCAATAAAAGCTCAGTAGAAGAGAATGATTTGTCTGATAAAACAGAGTCTTGATGAATGATCAAAGTTGCAAAAGGTCCATTTATTGCCTGCAAGCAGGAGGTCAAATACACAGGCACGTATCACGATGCTCTGTGGAGATGGCGTCTCCGAGCAGTAAAAATGCTGAGTTTTTATACACATGTGGAGGACATTCTCCCTGCCAGTTACGAGAAGCTGCAAAGCAGATTGAGATAAGAACCCAGGTGAAGCTGAGGGTAGCACACACACACACAAGATCCTCCTCAGTGGCCGGTGCAAATCATAATTAATTGACATAAAGTAAAACGTGTATCCGGAACTTTCATACCGAATAAGATATGAACCAAGGCCATGAACAGAAGTCCTTTGTTTTGAAGCTTCTATGAGATCGAGTCGACCGCCCTCTCTTCTCAGGGCACAGCTGCAAACTAACATTTTGTATCATGCTGACACTTGAGACACGGCTTTAGCACAAAACAATGTTATAACATATTTTTACCATTTTCTTAACGAACAATCCATGAAATGTAACAACAACATTAAATCAGTCGCTGGCTGGACCGGAAGTGGATGCAGCATTTTCCTCTGACTCTCCTACAGCGGGAGGTATGACTCAATTTTCTCCTTGCTGTTAATAGAAAATTGAAACAAATTTGACAAAAATGAGCAGTAACCCTAAAATACGTATTGGGACCCCTTCATTTTTTACACATTTTATGTTGCAGATAAGAAACATCCCGAAGATGATCCAGAGAAAATGGAGGAACTTGAGCTTGTTTTAAAAAAATGAAAGCGACGTAGAAGCGGAATGTCAATGGGAAGAAATTCTAAAATATATATATAATTTTTTTTTGGTTGTTGAATTTTGAGGCAAAAACATGGATTCAAGCGCACAACACTGTTAAATACCAAATTCTGAAAAAAAGTGAATGGGTATGAAAGTTTTCTTAATGCACTGTACATTTCCAATTGCTTCTCTGGCTTCCAGCCACAATTTTTGTAAACACCCAAGCGTACCTCAATGTTTTCTCCCTATAAGAGCACAACGGTCTGATAGCGACTACAGAATCAGGCCAAACCACAGTTGGGGAGTTATAGGTACTCAAATCAGGGGGCTCGTCCGGGATGAGAGGTTTTCCTGCACAGGCGAATTCGATCTAAAACGCTTACACCTGCTGAACGCGACGTACTCCCAGGCCGGCCTCAAAATAAGGTAAGCAGAAACCTGTTACATCTAATTCTGCATATTGAATAAGCTAAAGTAAGGAGTACGTTGTGGATTGGTGGTGTAAGAACCAAATTAATACTTGAGTAATTCTCTAAAAGAAAAAAGAAAAGAATAAAAAAATTGCATCGATGGGATGAACACCGCCGAGTGTTTGTTTGCGTGCCGCCGGGTACGGGAAAAGTACTGCAGTGCTTAAGGTCTGGAATCCAAAAAAGAAGTCATTACTGTTGTTTAGTGGGTACCTGCCTGTACCAAGGGATCAATCCGTCATAAATCAAAGGAATCGAAGGGCGCTGAAGTTTGGGAATAAATAAATTAACTATGGTTTTGTCACCACAGTTTAGTGTACCTAAGTATCAAGGGATCGAAAATCCGACATGAATTAAGGGAATTGATTCGGAGTCAATATCCTGGTCTCTGGTTTGGCAACCCCCAGTGAGCACAAGACGTAATTTCAACGTTGAAATATGGTTGAAATCGGGTTGAAATGAGGTCTGAACGTCTAAGACCTCATTTCAACGTCTTTTCAACCGGCTAAAAATGGGATAAAACATCAACGTGCCAGAAAACATCAATTTGTTGACAAATGTGTCATGATGTAACGTAAGGTTGAAAGATAGACGATATTAACGTTAAGATTTTCATAATAATTAATGAACTGGTCGGCGAAATTTGGTCTACGCGAAGACGTAATTTCAACGTATTTAATATTTCACTTAAAACGTTATAAATATGAAACTACAGACTGCGTGCTGTTAATAAGATGCGTTTAAGACATAATAATGCGGGCAGGTTCAAACATTACTTGTAAACACGTAACTCCGCTCACATCTGTAACGCGCATGCGCGAGTTCTTAGACGCCTGCAGAGCTCCGAGCGGACGCAGCACGAGGCGAAGTTACGGCAGCAGAGCGACATGAACGGGCTGATAGAACCACGACTACCGGCTCCACTGCTCTGTAAGTACGGGAGTGTTTGAATGAAGCACACATGGAACTATAACCGGGTGTTTTACTTGTGCTGCCCACCCGATACGGGAAAGACGGCCCTTTTTGTTAAGCTAGTTAGCGTTAGCGCAGGTAGTTTGCTAGTTAGCATGCTAGCTTGGAGCATGCTAGCGTGCAGCATGATGACCTGGACCAAAAGTAAACATCCCAGAATATTTTTCGTGTGTTTGGTGTTACTAATGCGTTAGGTTGTTGCTGTACCCATAAATGTTATTGCATTTCACACTGAAAACGTTTTTAAAGCAATGGGGGCTAAATACAGATTGCAAGGGTGAAGGGCTGAATTCAACAAGTTGTGCTCTGTAAACAAGAGGGCCAACACATTGTAAGTTACTGCTGCTTAAAGCATGATACTGTGTAATATACCTGGACATGTTACTCCAGAAATACCATAAGTTGCAGATGAATTGTTATCTTGTTGATAATGTAATAAGTGAACAATCTATAAATGATTGTGGTGATGGTGTAGTACAGTGCTGATCTATGTTGTGCATGAGCCACAAGGGGGCACTCGTTTGCATTGCTGTTTTGTTTGTCCCAAAATGGAGAGACAGCGAGATCCTCCTTGTGGCACTGGCACGCAGTGGCACAACTCGCGTCAAGTAAGGGGCGGGCGTCGCAACGCCACCCCGAGTGGGCGGAGCCAGGCTTTCCCGGAAACGGCCGTTGTTTGTGCGACAGGTTAGCTGCCGTAAATATGTTTTTTGTAGTTCTTTTTATTTTATTTAATGTTTTTTTTTATTTTTTTTTGATACACTACATATTCCCCACCTCTATCTCAAGTCCAACGTATTCCGCTGGGGGCGTTGGAGAGGGGGGCGCAGACGGGGGTGTTCCACGGGGGGGATCGGCGGTGTTCCGCGGGGGATCAGCGGTGTGTAATTCAGTGGCAACAGTGGCACTCAATGGCACAACTTGTGGCACTCAATGGCACAACTTGTGGCCACAGTGGCACATCAGTGGCAACAGTGCCACTCAGTGGCACTCAATGGCACAACTCATGGCACTCAGTGGCCACTCTGGCAATTTATTGGCAACCTGTTAGGCGTCCTCAAAGCGCCACTCGATCTGAGAGGCTGCCGAGCTGTTTCTTGTTTTTTATTGACTTGAGTGGGGTTTTGTTTTTCAATTTATCGGGTTTGCTGAGCATGTTGAGCATGTTGTTTTGTTATTCTAGCACTTATTTTTCCTATTGCCACTTGTCAGAGGATATCCAAGCTGCCACAATAATACCTCTAGATGTCAGAGTTTATTCCAAAAATACTCTTTTTAAGGTTATTTTATTCTGTTATGTTTTCAATGAAAAGTGCTATTGGAACAGAAATTCAGTTACACATGAAAGCATAAATATTTGCCTAATCAATAGAGCTGAAGTTGTCATAAGTGGGACCATTAGAAGAATTAAATGAGACGCAGAGACTGTCAGGAAGGATATATATATGAAATAAGAAATGTAAACAAAAAGAACAGTAACAATAAATAATATAAACATGTAAAAACAACCTGAAAATGCATTTTAAAAACTGAACTAGTCCCACTCTTTGAACAAAGCATTGACTTTGTAGCCCTTGTCAATAAATGGTGCCACAAACATTTCGTAGTCACTTTTGTACTGGAATTTCACGACAAAGACATTTATCGGTGCGTCTGCGTCGTCCTCATTTTCATCCATGGAGTTCTTGTGGTCTTGCAATGCTCGTAGCTGGTTGCCTCTGTCCATGTTGGTAATTTCAGGCAAGGTTACCTTCCCCTTAAATTCTTTTGTCTGCAACCACTTTGCTGCCAACAAGGTGTGCTCAAGCATTTTCATTTTGCCCTCATTCTGCATTTGAAGAAAAGGAGTATCATAAAAAAAAGGCATACATTTTAAATATATATATTTTTAATTAACGTTGACTATAAAATATGAAACAATAAAAAAGCAATCCATTATATTTTAACAAGACTGTATATATATATATATATATATATATATATCTAGCACAACAATTACCTGTTGGTCTTTCTCATCTGTGCCTGCAGTGCGGCTGGTTGGGCTATCTGCTTCACTGAACATAACGAGAATAAATAATCACATAACTGGCAGGATATACTTTTCTCTAAAAGATGAAAAGTCCAGTTATCCGAGGGAACTACATCATTTTATTATCACACATTTCTAAATTCATTAAAAAATGTAATTTATCTGTTGTTAAATGTTGTTGTAGAAATCCATAATTCATTCAACACAGACTTCCTAGCACCTCTATTTATACACCTTACTTAGAAATTAATTCACAAACAAACATTTCTGTCATTAATTTCATTAACTTCACACTTAAAAAAAACAGACCACAAAATGTCTGTACCATAATTTTGCCTGCAGCAGCCTTCTTAAATAAAACCAGTAGTACAAAATCCACTTCTTAATGTTATTTGCTTTTTTTTGGGATAATAAATTTATATTTCATTTCTTCAATATATTTAGAATTGGCCCCTATTTGTGTCTTTTTTATTATTATTTCAAAGTAGGTTTTTGAGCCAATACTAGGACTCTGTCTCTGTGTGAATTCAACTCCAGCTGAATCTATCAACTCTGCTGTGGTCCATCTCTGTCCGGGATTCCCCCCTAGAACACCCACGCGTCACAATGTGTATATATCCTATAGTTAGTATTCAGATGTATACCCATTACAGACATCGGTTGGACTACTATATAAAAAGAAAGACTAAAGGAGGCAGGCAACAGGAGAAATGCAAAATTAAGTTTAACTATACTTCCACCTTCCACCTCTACACCTATTGCTAACCACAAAGCCCCACCATGTCATCTTTACTTTTCGAAAAGAAAAGCAATTACTTCAATCTCACAAATAGGTGTTACCGTTTACCGTGCAGAAGGAGACTTTCTGCCTTGTGTCGCCAAAGACCAAACTTCTTTCTTAGCCACAGAATTGTTACCTTAAAAGCAACTAGAATGCACATTTTCTCACCACAAAACACATTATATTTTGTATTACGAAATGTGATGCTTTTGTCCCTCAATTGCTTATTAAGTGTATAGTCATTTTGTGTTGAATTCTATGATTCCTACCTCTGGCAGAATTACTTCTTCCAGGTACATCTTCTGCTCAACTTCTGTTCCTGTCTAACACATTTAACAAACGTTTGTTAATATTACACATGATCTCATAAATACAGACCTTTGCGTAGAAGCCGTGGTTGCAATTTTGTCTTTGGATATTATTTTAATTGCATTTTATAATTTACTATTGAAATGTAACATAAAAATACCATAGTTATTTACTATATAAGAGTTGATAAAACATTTTATTGTGAAAAAAAAAACAAAAAAATGTGATGTTTGTTATGTGGTAACATGTGAATGTCTTTGGCATACCCGAATTTCATCCAACAATGTGTTGTTGGTGGCGTACTTTACCTTATGTCCAGGATAAAAAACCCTTGTTGAGGTGGAGATAGACTCTGTTGGACAGAATCTTGCCATTTTTTAGATTTTGGTCCGTATCCTTTGAACAGCATGATACATCACATGTTAAAGTAGTTAATAGCAATTGAATGTGAGTAAGACAAAGACAAAAAGAACACTTCAGCTAAGAAGTTTGAAAACAATCAATATAGATCACTTATAGCTATATTTCAAAATAATTTGTTAACATAAAAAAAGTTCTTCAAAATTAAATAATTTTGAGATACTATTTTACCTTTATTTCCTGGTCAGTCAGCATGTTGTCCACCTCAATTGATTCCAAGCTTTCCTTACTAGTGACAAAAACAGTAATTATTTTCTATGCAACCCTCCTGATATACTCTGAGTTTCAAATTAAAATTACCTTAAGATATTAGTGGAAGGAAATCATTTAGGCAAAGGTTGTTTAATTTATGTGAGATCATTACTTGCACAGCACTCACACAATTGGCTGGACAACTTTACTGCAGCCACAATCAAAGTGTTTGTCAGTCCACTCTCCATTGACCCCAGCACATTGGAAATGTATCCATTTCTTGCATTGCTCGCACTCCAGCCATTTGTAATCTCTCAGGTTTTGGTGGAGACACCTAAGTAGAACAGATAATAACAATATTAATATTCCAAAATTAACTAAATTTGGAAAATGGCTGAAAATGATTAATCTTTCTCTAGGTTTTGTGATCTATATTTTCAAGATACAGTATTTTGTGGAATTTATCAGTTAGGTTTTAGATTCCAACCAACTTAAATTTTTAAGTAAAAATAAGTTGGTTATCATGAAAGACGCTAGATATGTAGATATAAACAGCTTATTAAATGGTACTGAAAAAAAAACATTCTTATTTTTCCGTGATCATGAACTAAATAAAAAAAAATTGTTGTATTGTCTTGCTCCAATAGATTCCTCTCAATGCTACACACTGTTATTGTAACAACTAGTATTTGATTTAATAAAATTGGAAGTAAACACAAACTTATAACTTACATGCTTGTCCCCACGACACGCTGAAAAATGCAGGCACTTATGCCCCATGCAAGGCAATGGCAGTTGGATTCCGTTTGTTTTTTTTCAGCTTGTGTGAGCTTGGCCTCTTCTTTTTGTATTTCCTCTAACTGACTCTTGGTGAGAGGGAAAGCCTTTTTTCAAAGCAAAAAAAGGGAAACTGGACCAGTTAAAGTATGTACATATTATATTTATTAAATATACAACCATAAGTTTTCATTACCGTCTCTGGGATATCTTTCATCATCTTTGCTGCATGGTATTGCCGCAGAGTCCGGCATTGGGTCCGCGTCAGTGACTCTTCATCGACATTTGTTTTGGTTAATTCATTCTCAGCAGCCTATATGAATGAGAATGTAATGTCAATTGCACACAATCTGTAGGGAGTTCTTATAGTAATGTGCAATATGCCTATTCAAATATTCTAACATGCACACTGTACACCAGATTTGATGCTTGACTTTTTTGACGCTTAACAAAGTTGTCGATATTCCACAAATGTGGCTTCATAGAACGACTTTTGAACATATCAATTAAATATAACAGCCTTAATATAACATAACTGGAGAATTTATTATGTGAAATAGGGTTTAAAAAAATACAATAATAGGGTAAATGTACTTCAACTACCTCAAAATTCTTTAAAAGCAGGCATGTGCCACCCATCGTAAACACTGGTCTACACAGAAGGACTTGGATTTACTCACTGAGCAGACAAAAACCCCACAGTCTTTCTGAATCCACTGGACAGGGTATGTTACACTCCAGCCTTGCAGCCCACCCTTCTTCCGAAAGACATTTCTGGTAGTGCCCAAATGTCAACAAATTAATGAAATAACAGGTCATAGAGATGCAAAAGTTTTATGTTGTTGTATGTGTATTTTTGTTTCTGACGTAGACTAACTTGAGAAGATCAAAGTCCTCCTCCTCCAAACCGGTCCTGGTCTTTAATGAGTGATATATAGGGACTTCTTTTTTCGAGAAATCCAGAACATAATAAACAATAATTTCAATATGTAATTCACCAGATGTTGCTAAACATGGTAATATTAAAAGCACATTTTCACAATATCAATTCTATAAACAAATTAGGTTGCAACAATGTCTTAACTCAAGAACAGGGATGTTAAATATATGTCCCGGTGTTCGGTCCACCAGATACTATTCCCAATCAGTACACTGGGCACACTCTCCATGTCAAGGAACGCCCGACAACGCCTCCTCCTGGTTTCACCAGATCCCTTTCTCCTGAGTACTAGGACTGCATCTCCCATCATCCACCTCTGCTCTCGTTATCCATCCTGATCACTGTATTAGAATCACCTGTGTGCTATCAGCTCCCCTTTATCTGGACTACCCTGTTCTCTGTTCATTTGTGAAGTCTTGTTGTACCGGTACCCTTGAATTCTCTGTTTGGAGCTTGTGATTTTGACTTGGATTTTGATATGGTTTTGTGCTGTGTGCTCTGCTTTTCAACCACGGGGTTGCTCCTGCACTTTAGCTGCTTGTGATTTTTATGTCGGCATTTCGCTGGTGACTTGCCTGTGTAAATAAAGTACTGCAAATGGATCTGAATGCCTCTGCCTCTTCGTCACACTGCAACAAACACTTTTAGATAGATGCATACCACATGCCAATTTGGATCATGGTGTCACATGTTTTTTCTGGCACACTTGAGATCAAAGTGTGCTCCTTTACTAAAATTGCTCCATAAGCATTATTCATTAAGTCCTGTACTGTGACAGTACTTACCTTTGAATTGTCCATGGCAAGCTGTGCCACACGAAAGTTGACTGCCTTAAGGGAAATATTTAATATTAATTATTTCCAAAAAAAAAAGTATATTATATTGAACTTGCATATCACTTACATCATCAGTGAGCCATGGCATAACCCATGCTGATTCGCCTAACAGCTTCAGAGGACAGACACTGTTGATGTCCCGTATGGATAACGGATATCTTTGCTTAATGTTGGTCAACACCTGCCTTTCATCATGTGAGCCTGTGAAAAGTTTCCTTAACTTCTCCTGAGTGATATACAGATACATTTATTAATTAAGTTAATGAAGTACAAACTCTTGTAGTGTCCACATTTATTCAAGGTCATAAAAAAGACGCCATATATTACAAAACAATTGTAAACTACTTACTCAAAATAAAAACATTGCTTTGTTGGGTGAAATTATAATTCACACGTTGAATCTCACCTTGGCAGTATCATCAATGATGTACCTCTGGGCTAAGAATGTCTTTCTCTGGTCCATGGCTGACTTTGTTTCAAAATGTTGTCCAGTGGCTGTTTGCTTGACTACAAAAAAGTAGGTAAAAAGTAGTCGAAGAGCAGGGCATATGTTTAAACTCCTTAGTTTTTCTTCTGCTCTGCGTTGGTTTTTCTGGTGGAACCGGTCATAGAGGGCATACCTCTCAATTGTTTGGGTAATTGGATGTAATGCAGTGAACTTGTTGGCTCCGGACCGGTTTCAGTGGTGCCCCCGGAGACCTGAGATTTCCGATCCACTCCAGGACCAGTTCAAGTTTCTTTTCCCTTGCTGCATTGATGTCTGACTGTGATGGTTCACAAAGCCGACCATCATGGGGCTGAAAGAACTTCTGTTGGGTTCTATTGTTCATGTGGCGTGAAACCTGGCCCGCCACATCGGAGATGTAAACAGTTGGAAAACTGTTAAAGCTTCTCTAGGTGTACAGGAAAAGTGTAACACACCACCTATAAGAAAATCAATAATTGAATATATTGGTATCTATGAATTTGTCATTGCTTTAAAAAATAATGTGTCCCCTTTATTAATCACCTCCTGTTGTTTGAAGTTTTACAAAAAGCTTTGGATAAAGCTCCTTGAAATTCAGCAGCTCTTCCAGTCGGCTGATAAGATCGCTGATGGAGCCCTCGGAAGTGACACCGAGTGCTGCACAGGCATCTTGTAGTTCTTTCTTTTGTGGCTGAAATAATACATGTAGCCTTCATTATACAATATAAACAAAATCTTCAATTATAATACATGTTTTACTTTATCCACACCTTTTTAGACTCAAGAAGTGCATGTATGATGTCTTCATCCACCTTTTGGTTTGACACCTTTGTTTCACCGGACCTTTTCTTTAACCCTTTTTTCACCTCTGTCTTTGGGAGTGTGTTTCCAGCGCGCGTGTCCTTTCCCATCCATGGAGCCAACGTGGAATACGAAAGCAAGGACCTGTAAGGGTTTATTGTGGTGGTTCCTATTTAACATAAAAGTACAGATGACGTACACTTATGCGATATAGGAATCTTTGTATAGTGATTATACTTATTGTTTTTTTACAGGTGGCCATTAACAACATTCTTAAAACTAGCATGTTGATTTTGTCAATGACAATAACGAATAATGAATCATAAATACTAAATTTGAGTCAATAGAGCAGACCACACCAATGTTAATATAAGTGATACCAATATAAACAAAGGGGATTTACCCGGCGTGAAGCCCTCAGCAATCATCGCCTTGTCCAGGTCTGCCCATGTCCTCTCAATATCAATATTGAGGTCTGTGTCCGTCACTGTGTCCAGGTCCGGCCTTTTGACTTAAATGTCATAAAATGTACTTGTACAAATGTACACATTTACCTGGCACATCAAAAGCAACTTTCCAGTTGGCATCAGCAATAATAACTGGAGGGTTATGGCCACATTGGTGACAGGAGAACTTAAATTCAAAGTCCATGAGGGAAAGGAAGTGATGGAACGCTTTGCGTACTGTCTGGTGGTGGTATGTGTTTCTATTAAAAAGATGTATGGTGTCCAACATGCATCCACAGGCGGTCTTGTTCTGGAAGGAGAAGAAACAGCACACGTAGAGGATTCACTGTTATTTTAAATGAAAAACACAACATGTACAATAAAATGATACACTAAATGCACATTCTTAAAATGAACAAATAACACAACGCTAACATCATGTGTAATCACTTAAATTTGATTAACTTACAGCCAAAGCAGAGAGCAGGAGTGCACATAGCGGAAGAGTAAGCAACACCCTGTTGTTGAAATTGTGGAACCCGGATGTGTTGTCTTGGAAACGAACATGATTTCCGCAGACAGGGCACTTATTTATGGCAACAGAGACACCTTCAATTCCAGCAAAAGGAAAACATGTTTCAATTTTCCAGCCAGTAAGTAAAACTATTGCTTCAAAGTAAAAAGCGTTGTCATTTTGTCCATTTAAAATTACAAAAAAATCCCTGTCACAAATGAATATAAAATCATTTATTCAAAAGTTCAAAATAGAACAAACAGTTAGTGATTTGACTAACAAATAAAAAGGGTTTTTGTTCCGATGCCACTTCTTTTTGTTCACTTTAATTTCTCATACAACACTATTATTGCAATATGTTGATTAAAATGTATAATGTATTCTTTAATGTGGTATGCCGTCCTAGGTCACAAGGAAAACTGATTATTTAATAGATCATATTATTACCTTTTTCAATGTAGGTATATCCATAAACAGTGGCTGGTGTTGTTATTGTTTCCTCTATCAGACCTGGGGGCGTTGGTCCAGGGCAATATGGACAATTAAGCTCACTTGGAATGAAGCTCTTTGGTGGTGGTTTTTCTTTTGTGCGCAGTTCAATGGAGATGTTATGCAATGCAGGTATCTTCTTAGATTTGGCCAAGTACTCTGTCATAACGAGGACTTTTTGGTCATTGACATTGTATGATGAACATGGCAGTTCGGGGTCAAGGAGCTCACTTTCCATGTCTTCAATGTCCTCTGGCTGGGTATCACAGTTACTGAGAAGATTTGGATACTCCTGAAAGATCCACCACATGGCCATGTGATGGACACAGCGGTGTGATTGTCCCCTCTCCCGACAAGGACAATGCCATTGATCCCCCACTGAGTCAAAGCTCACCATAGTACGTTCAAACCGGCACCAGTTGTCGTTTTTGTCAAGACAGAAAAAAAAAAAAATCAAATATATCAACATATATGTTGAAGATGTCTCCTGAAGGTTGCAGTTCTGGCAAACACTCTGTAGTTGCAGAATGGACAATGATTGTGGCATCTATGTCTTTGATTTGTGTCCTGGCAATACGCGATAAGCCACGACACCACAAATTTCTCTGTCAAAGAACATTGAATAAAATTAGGAATATTAGTTACATGAACATTAGCTTAAAGTGTTGTAATAATTTGATTATACATTATTTTACAATAATCATGTTTAGGTACCTGTATCTCCATCTTCAAAATAAACAGCATCCCTTATATGCTTTTGATGTAGATGCCCTACAGAAGCCTCCACTTGCACAGTGCAAAATATACACTGGGGACCAACAAACTGAAGAACAGACTGTGCATCATGGAAGATCTGATGTGAATCTGTAAGAGAATATATGTATTTATTTATTGTAATAAATAAATTGTAACAAGCAATTTCAGGAAATATGTAGTATAAATCAAAGGTCCCTGCTTCATTCTAGGGGAAAAAAAATGAACAAAATGTATGCCTGACCTGAATGAGTGAACCTTTTGGTCACTAATAGTTGTTGGTAGGCCTATAAATTGGTGTATAGGCCTACCTCTGGGAAAGGGGGTTATTACCAAAACAATGTCTATGTGTCATCAGTATAGAATACCTTTGACTGACTATAAAGTCAATAATATGCACCTGCGTAAAAATAGCATGTGTCTAGTTCACTTAAAATGTTTAAACTATCACTCATTTTGTAATACATGGGTGAAAAGTAATATCACTTTAGGAATTTCTCAAAAACATTTTAAAAGTAGCCATCGCTCAAGCTAATTGTATGCTAAATGTCTTAAAACCCATTTGGTAATTACATTTATTTGAGTTGAAGTGTTTACTACTATATATACAAACAGAAAATATGAAGATCATTCATTAATTACACAATGGCCATGACAAATGACCATTACAACAATTTATTTTAAAACATCACATGTAGTGTATATACAAACAATAAAGAAAAAACTGAATATTTTTTTCAGTTTAGAGTTTGTTTTTTCACCTGTCCCTCCACAGAGGCACGGACTGCTGACTTCAAATTGCGTTTTGAACTATTAACGTGATATTACAAAAAAGTGTTTTTGTAAATTCACTTAAACATCTTCAAATGGATCAATATTATTTTCGTATTCATTTTATTCTAATCCATGAAGATCTGAAGCTCCCCAGTGAGCACAAGACGTAATTTCAACGTTGAAATATGGTTGAAATCGGGTTGAAATGAGGTCTGAACGTCTAAGACCTCATTTCAACGTCTTTTCAACCGGCTAAAAATGGGATGAAACATCAACGTGCCAGAAAACGTCAATTTGTTGACAAATGTGTCATGATGTAACGTAAGGTTGAAAGATAGACGCATCATGACACATTTGTCAACAAATTTTATCCCATTTTTAGCCGGTTGAAAAGACGTTCAGTCACCCAGGGTTAGGGTTCCTTAGAAAAACCATACGTTCGATTCCTAGACACGTGCAGCCCTTGGAGAGGTGCTGGGATACAGTAAAAATAAACAGCGCGCTCTGGAGTGCGGAGGGGGAGAGAGAGGAGTGATTAAATAAATAAATAAATGCGTTGAGAAATGCACTTAAAGAAATAAGTTTTGGAAGTACGTTCTAAGGAATTTACAACGCAGACAGACAGCAAGGTTAAAACATAAACTTGCGGTTTTAATAATTGAGTCTTAGAGGTTAACATATAGACGCATTGACTCCGGAAGGTTAGTATAAACTTTCGGCATAAATTCATTCTGCGAGACTAACATAAGCTCGCGGACACCAACATTTTCTCTGAAAGGTTAGTATAAACTTTTAGAACATAGCTGTCTGGTCCGGTAAAATACATACGAACGGGCTGCTGTTAAATTGAAGGTGAATTTGATGGAGAAGTGGAGGACGGCGGCTGGGAGCCAGCGCCGGGGTATCGATGGAAAATAATAAATGACCAACTGAGGATGTGTTGGTGGCGGTGAGCGGAGATACCACTGAGAAAAAGAAACATGATGTTGTGGAGCACACGGGACACGCGGTGAGAAAGGCGTTTCTCACATATTGTGGGAGAAGGCTAGAGATTATGAACAAAAAAGCACGACAATATTCATATGTCATTTTTTCAAACATTTAGAGAGAAATTCATGTAATTTCATGCAATAACCTTTCCAAGGATAATGTTTAATTATTTAACACGACGTTGTTAAATAATATAAATGTCAAATGTAAATGTAAATGTTATATCTAAATGTTAAATGTAAATCGAAATGTAAATGTTAAATGTAAATGTTAAATATAGATCCAAATAGTCTCTCTACATATCAGACTTGACGACTGAACATTACAATATTTACAGTAATTCACGCCGCGGCAAGACAAGCTGGCAAATCCGGATGAATTAGCTCTTGTTATAGAGCAGGGGTGTCAAACTCATTTTAGGTAGGGGGCCACATACTGTCCACGTTGAAGTCATGCTGGGGTTCATGGGCGTGGAACGTTGCGCAACCCCCCCTTGACCGGACCATCGCCGAGGATGTGACCGCGCGCCCGTGTGAGTGTGAATGGTTGTATGTCTCTGTGTTAGCCCTGCGACTGGCTGGCGACCAATCCACCCAGTGAGCATTTTTTGGTTGAAAAGACGTTTAAAAGACGTCTATGGCCCGACGTTGAAAAGACGTTGCAAAATGGTTTAAAAGTGAAAGTTGTTTCAACGTCTATTCGTAGACGTTGAAAAGACGTCTATGTTTAGACCACATTTCAACGTGATTTTTTAATACGGTAATATTTCGTCCTCTCTTGTGTGTTATATCATTATTTTAGAGGTTTAAAAAGAAACTACGTCCACATTTGTAAGTTTACCACCGATATTATAAATCACGTTGAAAACGGGTCTATACGTGAACGTCTTTTTAACGTCTACGAATAGACGTTGAGACAACTTTCACTTTTAAACCATTTTGTAACGTCTTTTCAACGTCGGGCCATAGACGTCTTTTAAACGTCTTTTCAACCAAAAAATGCTCACTGGGCACTGACAACATAAGTTAAAGGAACACTCATGTACTACCTATGTCATCATTAATAGCCTATACAGGACGCTTTTTTCACATTGAGAACTGACTTGTTTTCTAATCTACGCGTCACCAGGCGTTTTTCTTGTCCTTTTACCGTGCACGACCGGCGAACACAGAGCGCGCGACTACTACCCACCCCCCCACTCGGTCGTTCCGCCCGCAACGACTATTACCTCCCCCCCCGTCGGACCTTCTCGACCGGTCCACGAAATATTGTCTGACATGAAACCGGTCCGTGAGGTAAGAAAGGTTGGGGACCACTGGGCTGATCCACAACGTGTATGTGTTTACACACCTCCTGGATCCTGATAGGTGTCGCTGCTGCAGCCGCAAGGCACTGATTGCATGCTCACAGACCGTAATACAGCGCAGATGAACATGATTCAGACTACGGCGTTTATATGTTCAACAATAGGAAACGTAGTCTTAGCTGTTTTAAAATTACACCAATTTTATTTTGGATTATTCCAACGGAAGAATACAAGGCGCAGGGAACTTTGAGGTGCGTAAACGCTATTTATAGGTGCGTAAACGCTATTTCCAAAATAACAGAGGTGCGTAAACGGCGTTTACGTGTGTGATGGGTAGAGCTCTCCCCTCCCCCCCCCTGCCTGTTTGGCTACACCACCTTAATTGGTGATGCCTAACAGGTGTGACCAGGTGCTCTTTAAATGGGAGCTTTTGCCCCACTAGAGCTAGAGGGGGGCTTGCTGTAGGTCTCCCACGGCATAGGCACAGCACTCGCCACGTGCGGATGGGTTTGAGCGGAATCTAGAGGTATGTCAGGGGTTTTCTGTTTCATGTTTTAATATGCTTTTTAGCAGTGAAATGTTTATTGGCGTTATTTACCTTTTCTTTCTTTTATACAGGAAATGATCAGGTGGTGCAACACTGAGCCTGGTCACTGCTGTTTTTGCCTTTGATTTAAAATAGATTATGGTTACCCGGTTTATATAGTATCTTTGATTATGAATTGCGAATTTGTTTTCTTTCTGGGTTAGTGTCTTTGTTTTGTCCTACATGAACAACCATTACTGCGCCCTATACTGGGGGTCCCTTTAATGCCAGTGCAGGTGGGCATATAGTAGGCCTACAGGGGGTGGCTCACGAGGTGGAAGGCCCTTTCGGTTTATTTTGTTTGTTTGCTGTGTTTTAATTCCTTTTGATTTGCTGTGTTTTCTTCCCTTTGACCTGGTGGTGGCCCCCTTGTCCCCTTTCACTCCCCCGCCCCGGTGGGCCTCAAGTAGTCACCTTATACTGGTAGGGTACCCCAGTATAGTAATCTTTTTTTAAAGCATAGATTATATCTTGCCATAAAACCGACCAATGTTTCTGGATTGATTATTCCTTTTCTTTTAAATATTAAACCTACTTGTAAATAAAAAAAACATTGTTACAAAACTGGAACTTCACCTCTCTGCTCCCCTTTCTTTTTCATTACAACTGATATACTTTGGGTGAGAGCCCCAAAGTGACGTTGTCACCCTTGTGACCAGGCGAACGGCCGCCCCGGTTACACGTGCGTTTACCCTCCACTACAGCCCTGGTCGTACCCAGAGCATCTTCTCTGTGAAGGCAGCAACCACCAGTGGGGCTACGGTTGTCTTTAAAGAAGATAAAGACGCCCTGATAGCCAGAGACGGTACCAGGTTTAACATTCACGTATACGGAAGGTTGTATTTTTTGCACACTGAAGCTGAGTCTAATGATAAGTGTAACGCATGTCACGACATACAGACATGGCACGAGATATTGGGGCACTGTAACTATGACGACGTTTTTAAGTTGCAGAACGTTGTTGAAGGTATGCAGATCAAGGGCAAAACAGGCAGACCCGAGCAAGAGTGTGAGGTATGTATTCAGGGAAAATTCGCCCAAACCAGAAATAGGGACCCTGATACCAGAGCAAAAGCTCCCTTACAGATGGTACACACGGACCTCGCAGGTCCAGTAGCCACAGAGTCAAGAGATGGTTACAAATATGTGCAGTCATTCACTGATGATTACTCAAGTGCAGTATTTGTATATTTTCTGAGGAAGAAAAGTGACACCGTACAGGCTACGGAAAAGTTCCTAGCAGATGTATTACCTTACGGGAAAGTAAAGTGCATCAGATCCGATAACGGAACGGAGTTTACAAGTGGTGATTTTCAAGCGCTGTTAACCCTTAGATGCACAAGTGGGTCAAAAATGACCCGATGAGGTTGTTTTCTTGAAATATCTTCGTAATGAAAAATTGTTATCATTTCATATTCCAGGTATTCCTCAAAAAACATGTTTTTGATATAATTC